ACACTGTGGTTGCATTGATTGTGGTAAAGTGTGTCCGGCTGGATAATGTTGTTGTGGAGTTTGAGAGAATGTTGATAGAAAAGGTGCTGATGCTTGTGCGGTGTGTGATGCTGAACTCATCCACTGGGCAAACAAATCAGCTGCCGTCATCGCGGGCTGCATGGTCGGAATCACGAAGCTGCAAGCGCTGCACATGTCAGTCTTCAATGTGGCCATGATGTCAAACCGAAAGTTATCTAACTCATGTCATTAATCACCATGGCATGATGATTCATGTTCATGGCTTTCATGTTGCGCCATGTGAACTACGCGATGATTCATGTACAGGGTTTTCATGTTGCACCATGTAAACTACGCGAAAACTAACCAAATTGGTCTCAGTGAGGCTATCGAGTCATGTCTGTAAAAAGCCGCGAGCAGTCATGCATGGGATCCGTGTTGCAATCATACTACTGGTTCATGTGTAGAGGCCAAGGTTAAGAGTGAAAAACGGTCGTGTTAGTTAAACATGTAGAACCGCATGGGATGACACGGGGTTGTTCTGAGGGATGAAAATTTCACTCTGGATTTATTCTGGCATGGACTCTGGATTTATTCTGGCATGGACTCTGGATTTATTCTGAAAAGCATTCAATCCCCTGATGGAGTCTTCTGGATGCTTGTGCGAACTCTGGATGCTTGTGCGGAACTGGCTTCTGGCAACATTATGTCTGGATTTATTCTTGTAACCTGGTATCCCCGGCGGACGCACCACCAAGCTTCCCCGGCACTTTGTCAGAGATCCGGGTGCATGAAAGACACACTTTGGTAAACTCCATAATGGAGAGGGTGAAATGAGATGAAATGATAACCGTCATGTCGTGTTGTTACATTAGCATGTCATGTCATGTCATGTCATGTCATGGCATGTCGGCATGGGTGGTTTTTGGCTTGGCCACCTTGCCATTTCGGATGCAGGTACGTTTTCACGACGACATAGATGGGTCTTCGTTGGCCCGTGCCATCTATGCGTCCATGGGCCCCCTGCTTTTCCCTTTGATTCAGGGTTTCTCACACACACACACACCATCTTTGACACACCATCGATCACACCATCCTTCACACACCACTTTGTCTCACACCATCTGTTACACACCATCTTGACACACCATCTTTGACACACCATCTTTCACACACACCATCATTCACACCACTTTGTCTCACACCATCTTTCACACACTACTTTGTCACCCACCATCTTTCACACACCATCATTCACACCACTTTGTCACACACCATCTTTCACACACCGTCACCATCTTTCACACACCGCTTGGTCACACTCACCATCTTTGACACACCATCCTTCACACACCACTTTGCCACCCACCATCTTTGACACACCATCTTTCACGCATCACTTTGTCACCCACCATTTTTGACACACCATCTTTCACACCACTTTGTCACACCACAATTTCACACACCGCTTTGTCACACACCATCTATCACACACACCATCTTTGACACACCATCTTTCACACACCATTTTTGGCACGCACCATCTTTCACACACCACTTTGTCACCCACCATCTTTGACACACCATCTTTGACACACCAGCTTTCACACACCACTTTGTCACCCACCATCTTTGACGCATCATCTTTCACACAACTTCGTCACACACAATCTTTGACACACCCTGTTTGACACACCATCCTTCACATACCACTTTGTCACCCACCATCTTTTACACACCATCTTTCACACCACTGTGTCACCCACCATCTTTGACACACCATCTTTCGCACCACTTTGTCCCACACCATCTTTGACACACCACTTTGTCACACACACACACCATCTTTGACACACCATCTTTGACACACCATCTTTCACACGACTTTGTCCCACACCATCTTTGACACACCATCTTTGACACACCATCTTTGACACACCATCTTTGACACACCACCTTTCACACACCACTTTGTCACACACCATCTTTGACACACCATCTTTGACACACCACTCTGTCACACACCATCTTTCACCACACCACTTTTTCACACGCCATCTTTCACACACCGCTTTGTCACACACCATCTTTCACCCACCATCTTTGACACACCATCTTTCACACCACTGTGTCGCACACCATTTTTCACACACCATCTTTCACACACCACTTTGTCACACACCATCTTTCACCACACCATCTTTCACACATAACTTTGTCACCCGCCATCTTTCGCCACACCATCTTTCACACACCGCTTTGTCACCCACCATCTTTCACACACACAACTTTCCAGATAGGTTTCCTCACGGCCCTGCGGGCACACGGACACACGGGCACGCGGCCGATCCACGGGCACACGGGCACACGAGGAATCCACGGGCACAGGCACACGGGCACACGGGCACACGGGCACACGGGCACACGGGCACACGGGCACACGGGCACACGGGCACACGGGCACACGGGCACACGGGCACACGGGCACGAGCAATCCACGGGCACACAGGCACCCGGGCACCCGGGCACACGGACACACAGCCAAATCACGGGCACACAGGCACACGGGCAATCGACCGGCACCCGGGCACCCGGGCAAGGGCCCACAGTCAATCCACGGGCAGGAATCAAAGAAACTCAGGTAACATGACGGAAAAATAACAACATTGCGGCGGAATAACGGCGAGCCCACAAAAAGGAATCTACGGTAGACGGAGCCAAAATGACACATGTGGAAATTAACTTGAGATCAAGGCAAAACAACGACATTAAGCTGCACGCAAACAGCACGGCAAGGACGGCGACATGCCATCTACAGCAGACAGCGCCGAAACGCCGCATGTCGACATTAATATTAGATCAAGGCATCACAGCACAGCGGAACGAAGTTGCATGCAAACAACAAGGCAACCACATGGTCATGCAACAAGAAGGAACGTCAAACAAACACCAAGGTCTACAACGACGGGCAACGAGCTCATGCTGCTATGACATCACGCTGCGGCAACAGACAGACAGACAGACAGACAGACAGACAGACAGACAGACAGACAGACAGACAGATAGATAGATAGATAGATAGATAGACAAACAGATAGTTAGACAGACGGACAGACAGACAGACAGATAGATAGATAGACAAACAGACAGACAGACAGACAGACAGATAGATAGATAGATAGATAGAAAGAAAGATAGACAGATAGATGATTAGTTAGATAGAGAAGATAGATAAGATAGATAAGATCGATAAGATAGATTAGATAGATTAGATAGAGTAGATAGATAAGATAGATGAGATAGATAAGATAGATAAGATCGATAAGATAGACAAGATAGATAAGATAGATAAGCTAGATAAGCTAGATAAGATAGATAAGATAGATAAGATAGAAGGATAGCTAGATAGATAGACAGATAGATAGATAGATCGATAGATAGATAGATCGATAGATCGATAGATCGATAGATCGATCGATAGATAGATAGGTAGGTAGGTAGATAGATACATAGGCAAAAGGATAACTGGATAAGTAGCAAGGGAGAGGAGGAATCTACGGTAGACGGAGCCAAAACGACACATGTGGAAATTAACTTGAGATCAAGGCAAAACAACGACATTAAGCTGCACGCAAACAACGCGGCAAGGACAGCGACATGCCATCTACAGCAGACGGCGCCGCAACGCCGCATGTTGAAATTTACATAAGATCAAGGCATCACAGCGCAGCGGAACAAAGTTGCATGCAAACAACAAGGCAACCACATGGTCATGCAACAAGAAGGAACGTCAAGCAAACACCAAGGTCTACAACGACGGGCAACGAGCTCATGCTGCTATGACATCACGCTGCGGCAACCGGTTGACACACAGACAGGCAGACAGACAGACAGACAGACAGATAGGTAGATAGATAGATAGAAAGACAGACACACAGACATATAGATGCATAGGCAAAAGGATAAATCAATAAGTAGAAAGGGAGACGGAGATACAGATAGAGACCGAGAGCGCGAGAGAGAGAGAGAGAGAGAGAGAGAGAGAGAGAGAGAGGGAGAAAGAGAGATCAATACACAGATAGACGGGCACACGGGCACATATCAGTCCTAGGACATCGCCATGACATGCCAGTTGTGAAGTTTTAATTACCAATCAAACATGCCTAGCTGGAACATCCACTGTGTACTGCGGAGTCGATTGAAGTTGGTGTCAATGGAGAGGAAAATGATGATGTTGATGTGGAGTAGGAAGATGTTGATTTTGAGGAGGAAGCAGACATACACTTTGTGCGAGCCTGCGCAGTCGAAATGCACTTCAACATGTCACAAGAGCCGCACCATACGGAAATTTACAGGTAACACGCCGCAGACCAGAGTGAGGAGCACCCAGATCAGGCACCTGCCTTTACACCTACCGTAAGAACCCCTCAGTGTGGACAAAACTGTTTGGGGAATCAAAAGACAGACTGCAACTGCCTGCAAGCGTGTCACTTCTGGACTTCTGGACCTGTCGCTGGCCCGGGCACACGGGCACCCGGGCACAACCCGATCCACGGGCACACGGGCACACGGGCACAGGGGCACACGGGCACAACCCCGATCCAAGGGCACACGGGCACACGGGCACACGGGCAAGGACCACCAGAGGACCTTGCTCCAACTTTGTCACACGCTCTCTTTCACACACAACTTTCACACGCGCGCCATCTTTCACACACAACTTTGTCACACAAACCATGTTTCTTTGTCACACACCATGTTTCACACACCCTTTTGTCACACACACAACTTTGTTTTACTTCTCGATCCTCCACCACCTCCTTTGTCTTTCCTTCCTTCCCCGTCCCCGCTACAACATTTGGTGCTCATTATTTTTTCAAAATTGGATTTGGGAATTCACAGAGATGCAGTGGTGATCAGTGGCGCATGTTCTGCTGCAACGATCCGGGGCTGCGCTTTACACAGTGCCATACTGACGTCTCCAGAGAGGGTTCTTGCAGGCACCGGCACCACCTTCAGAGGCCAGGCCTTGAGGTCCATATATGGTCCATATGGTTATGATATGTTTGATAGCATTGTTAATATGTTTGATATTTGTGAAACATTGTGCAAAAGATAGCAAAAACAACAAATAACAACAAGGCAACAAATAGCAACAACAGCAAAAACAACGACAGCAACAATGGCAACACCTGCACCACCGACACCAAGGAACTTTTAGAATCTGTTAGATAGTTTGAATAGGACTCGAATACTTTGAGATCGATTTGAAAGCGAATGACTTGAGAACCTGCTTACAGTCTCTGACCGTCGCAGCATTTTGCAGCGTGTTATGTTGTCCTGCGCAAGGCACACCGAGAGCTTGCAGCACTCTGTGTGAGTAAGGGCTATGTGCTTCGCTTCGATGGGTGCCGAACTGCAGAGTTCATGCGGCGTGCCGAACACGGTACTGATTTTGAATGATGTTGAGTCCTGGTCAAAAATACATACAGTAGGTGATTTCTTCTGTGGACTCTTTGAATTGATTTTGCTGGAGGTTCGAATCCCTGCCGAGTGGCTTTCGCTGCGTGTTTCGAGTGGAGTCCATCTGACCTGCATTGAATTGGGAATCACTGGGATACACTGGGCACATTTGAAAAAATCGGGGCACGTTGGACACAGATGCTTTGCATTGCTCTGCTCGATCTTGTTTGGTCGTAATTATGTCTGCTGGATTCTGTAGCGGGCACATCTCTCAGGTTCCGGCGAAATGGCCAAGCTGTCTCCGAGGCATTTGAACAGCAAGACAAACCCGAAGTTCTAGTTCTAGCATGTTCTAGCATGTTCTAGCCTGCTGTTTGACTGACTAGTTTCAACTTTCTTCTAAAGTACCCATAACATCAAAACATCATAACAGCTCATTTGTAATATTTGCATCAGACTGTTGATCTCACTCGCAAATTTGTGCATTTTTCCAAGTGCAAACATGCCCAGAGCTTTCTAGGCTTGCAGGTGCCTGTAGTGTTTTTTGATCTTGGATTTGTTGGATTCGTGGCAGCAATCTGACAGTGGACTAGTTGGAGATATTTGGAGATGCAGTATTTCAAGATATTTCAAGATATTTCAAGATATTTCAAGATATTTCAAGATATTTCAAGATATTTCAAGATATTTCAAGATATTTCAAGATATTTCAAGATATTTCAAGATATTTCAAGATATTTCAAGATATTTCAAGATATTTCAAGATATTTCAAGTGCAGCATGGTTTTGCGACATCTCATGACAAGGTTTTCCGCTCAAAGAGCCTTCAGCTCAGTGGCAGAAAAGTCACGTGTCGAAGGAAGTCGAAGCTGCTATCCGTGACCTTGGGCCAGGGGTTCTAGTGTTTCTAGTGACTCCCACAAGATACACATCAAAGAAGTGCTGACATAGATGGATCATGATGGATTAGATTTAAGCTATTCCTTGACCCCCTTTAGGAACTGTGTACTCGAATGTATTTGATATCACAGGCAAACAATGTCAAACAAAATTCATCAGAATTCCATACCAGACATTTTCCTTCAGCTTGATAGACCTTGGCCCTGTGGTGAAGCCCTGTGGCCTTGTGGAGCTTAGGAGTTCACGCCGCAATTCGGGCTGCCCAAAATGATGCAGCTGCAGAGGCGCCAAATCATCCTGGACGTCTTAGCTATCAGCGAAGCACATCAACGCACCGAAAAATGCCAGTCGCATCGAATAGCGTCTATTCTGTCTATCCTAGTATAATCGCATTGAATCACATGCCATGAGCCGACTAAGCCTAGAGCCTGCAGTGGTGAAGGCCTTGTTGCGGCTTCGGGAAGTCGACCAGGCACAAGTTCAGTCGACTGCCGTCCTCGGCTTTTTGTTTTGGTAGAAAGTGCCAAAGCACAATGGCCTCTGGGGACCAGATGTCATGCAAAGGTACGAGAAAAAACATTTCCAAGTCCTTTGTTTGGATACGTCGTTGTTTGGATGCTTATCAGTGATATCGCCGACTTGTTTCTTTGTTTTTTGGTTTGACAAATTTAATTCTTATCAGACGTTTTGAGGTTGAATCTTCATGCTTTCCAAGTTTTGGGCTGTTCCTTTTCTATTCCCACTTTCTCAGATAGTGTTGAATCAGATTCCTTTGCGTGGGTGTAAAGAGGAGGAAGGGCAAGAATTACCTGGATTCTGCATCCAGAGGCACTTCAAAGAGGAACCGCCGCTGAGACAGAAGTGCCAAACGAGGGCACAGACCCAAGAGACCTTAAAAATTGAAACTTGTGATGGTCAGCGCATTGGTATGGCACGTGCGAAAATGCAAAGTTGCGCCTTGAATGCCTTGGCATTGATTGGTGCTTTATCAAAGCATGGCTTGTTACAGTAGCAGTATGTTGCAGTGCCTTCACCTTTGTAATTATCCATGATCTTGCTTGCTTGGATCTTATCTTTATGGCTTTGCTCTCTGCACCGCAGCCAAGTTTAGTCCCTTTGAATAACTTTGAATATCTTTGAATATCATGGATCGCCACGCAGGCAATGCAAGGACTGCTTCCAAGAAAGTGGTTGCGGGGTAAAGTACTGTAGTTGTGAATTATGTCTCTCGCAATTCCCCGGGACCAACCCAAGTGGAACACGATTGAACAGGTTCTTTCGGGGTCCTGCCATTCCGAGCATTGCAAGCTCTGGAATTAGTGAAGACATGTAAAAACTGGGTGATCGAGGTAGTCTGGGAGCGAGCTGGTCGCGAACGTAGTCAATGAATGTCAATGAGTCAACAATATGGGCATATATGGGCCAATTTCCAACAAGTTCCAAAGATGGATCCAAAATGATCCAAGAATCTTCAAGAACCATTGAAAATAAAAAACCAACAGGTCCAACGGTCCAAACGGTCCAACATCCTCAGCTTCCAATCCCTTGGAGGTGAGCTTACAACGATGCGTGTCCAGGGTCTCATCGGAAACTCCCAGGCGTACCAAGTTGCTTCGTGGTGTGAGGGGAAAGCTAAAGATAACGCAATCAAAAATGTACAGCGCCCTTTTCAAAGATAAGGAACACACAATATTTGATTTTATTTGATAATTCAACTTTATAATCTTGGACTACTCATACATATTTAATATGTGTGAACAAGTAATTACACTTATAGCTAATATTACCAATATATTTATGATTCTTAATATATATATATTCACAATGTATGTATATAATGTATATATATATATATTCACATATATATATATTTATTTATACATATACACACGAGAATTAGGGAAATTTCTTAGGGTCAGGTAATCGCAAGGTTTTCTGGGAGAAATCCAGCGGAGGTGAATCGACGGTCTGTTCCAGCTCTAAACCGCACCTCGCAGGCACTGAAAACCTGACATGCATTGAATGCATCGACATGCAGTTTTATATAGTTATATATATATATATGTTATATAATATTATATAGATAATTTGTAAATATGAATAATACTGTACTGTATATGTTAATATACATATCTTCTCCATATGTTTCCATCCTTTCATACTTTTCATGCTGTCTGGTTTTTAAAAACAGAGACACGTTGCCGGAGCCGTTGCCGCGCATTCGGTGAGGAGATGATCTTTTCTCGCCCAGCAACCCACAGGTGCGGGTGTACCCGGGTACACCCGGTACACCGGGTACATGAGCTGATCGAAGTTTTATATACAATTCACTGTACATGAATTGGTACATGAACCAATTGACCAATTCACTGCGGTCGCATCAACTCGGAGGCAGCTTGGCAAGACAACACAGGCCCCTTTATTCCATTCGTTTCATTTTTGGCCCTTTGATGTTCCTTGTTCTTTGATGTTGTGAGGCATTTTGCTTCGTTTGCTCCACATGATTCATTTCTTATTCGCCCTTGAAGCTGTTTGTCTTGAGCTTGGAACACACAGGACCATGAAGTTCTTCTGATTCACGTCCCTTCACAATCACTCACAACCATGTCTGATGGAACATACTGATTCAGATGCTATTTTGTCTCTAGTAACCATGGAGACTGATCTGATCACAAAGCAACATCCTGAAAGCCAAGCGCAAGGAAGAGTTGGGCACAAACAAAACCAGCCATAGATCAGCAGAGATTAGACATATGAAATTTCCAAGCCAACTGCATTTTACCCAAAGCCAACAAGATACAGTGCATTGGAAAATTACAGCGACCATGAAGGGAAGGCGATGGTGCTTGTGGAGAGGGAGCTGTGAAGGTCGGCAACACTTGCCAGACGACAGTTCGCTTCTGAACATGCGGGCACGAAACAGCAAACAGCTGCCTGGATTCAACATGATTCAACGACCTCTTGCATTCCCGTGAGCACACTAGATAACCAAGCCCTTTTGAATTGCTTTGAGATGTTGAATTCTTCATGTGCCACTAGATCATGGCTCATGTTGTCTTCACACCAGGCTACCTGGTTACGATTGCTTTCCACGCAGTCAAATCCACGAACATAGTGCAAGTATATACCATGACATGTGTCACTTGAGAGGAACCGCTGCTCCAATATAATAAATCATGCTTGTATCATCCTGTATCTGGATATATCCGATACGCCATGCTGATATACATATCATATACATATATATGTATACACGTATTTACTCTATAATTGATTACAATCACATCACACACACACACATATATATATATGTATATGAAGGGCTATTTTTTTTTAGTTTTTTTTTGTTTTCCAGCCTGGCTTTGTGGCTTTTGTGGTTTTTGTGGCTTCTGTGGCTTCTGTGGCTTTTGTGG